TGTGTGAGGGGATTTTGGTGCTATTCCAATCTTTAATAGCAAAGTTGTTACACATTTTATGACAGAAATATTCCCCCAAAAATTCCATAAACCCATATTTTCCCCAAATAATTATGGTAGTATAACCTGCCTGGATGGATTGTTGTGTGGGTTGATTTATTTTACCCTACACTATTCCTTGGCAACATGATTGATTTTATTTTTCTTGTAGCATCTCTCTTCAGTATTGCACTTTGTAGACGGTCCCTGCTCGATCCAGCCAGAGCCGACAGCGCGTTGGAGTCAATTGAAGTCGTCGCGTACGAAGAGCGGCTCGTAATGTTTAATGTTTAAAATGGAGCTGTAGCTTGTAGTCTACATAACTGGCTTCAGATACAAGCGTTGTTTTTCTGAAAGCAATGTTCCGTTAATTACTTATTGACACGGAAACCGCGAATCTGTGAATATCGTTCTAACTTTACCAGACTCGCGAGATCATGAATAAACATCTCAGGAAAACAAACTCCGTTTTCTCGAAATAACGAGATATTTCGAGAAAACGGAGTTTGTTTTCCTGAGATATTTTTTCATGGCTTGTAAAAAGAAAATAAAAAAACAAACATGTCCTCTTAGGGCTTCCGTAATATATATATATATATATGTGCGTGTGCGTGTGTGTGTGTGTGTGTAATTTCTGGATTTATGGAACTGTAGGACTTTGGTTTATATTATTTGCAGTTTTAAAGTACATTATACACAATACAGAGTTAAAACACATCAGATTATAAAATGATCTATATGTTAGAGTCAACAATGTGCTGTGTAAAATAACATGAATGTGTTTGTAATATCAGTAATAAAGTGTTAGTTATGTATTTACCTGTCATCAGTGAGAGGATGAGAAGCAAAAAGCTCTTCATTGTGTTGGTTTTGGGTGCTCAGGTCTTTAGTCTCAGTTATCTAAATGCAGTTGTTTTCTTCTTGTTGGCTCGTCTCCAGTGTTTTGGTTCCTGAATTTTTGTATGTCACCTAAAAATGCCCTGCCCTGTTATCTGTTTAGCAATCACCTTCTTTCTCTTGAATGTAAGTCCTTCCTCATTGTACCTCGCTTATGTGCTTTGGCAATTGGCAGAAAAGAGGAAATAAGCCTCCCAAAAATAAGACAATGAGAAAAAAACAGTGTTGATACATCCCCCACTGTTTGTATGAGCATTGTATCATCATCTTCAAAAGTCAGCTATATAAAGCCAACAGGATGTGAATCACATAGAACTCATTGCCCATCGCACAACAGGAAACCGCTGATGATGAAGTGCCAAACTGGTGTCTGAAACCTGACGTATATTTCAGTACATTTGCTTGTTAACCGTATAAGTCCCAGGCCTTTTATTTTATTTGGTCAATCTGAGGGCTGGCCATAAATGCTGCATGTTGTTTTCTTAAAACAGTCAAAGCTACCAGATCTTCCGTCATTACATCCAGATGGAAATATTCATATATGATATGAGGAGGTTAGTGCCAAAGTGGATCAGACCACATTTAGAGAAAAATGGGGTCAAAATTTTGTGTTGCTAAAAAAAAATCCTGGTTGTTGGAAGAGTCATTATATGCATCCAAAGATGTTCCAACACTGTCCAGAGATAGAAGCAGCTACTTTGTGATGACTTAACTTTTAATTTTGTCTTTCCTTTTGCTGAGTGCCAAAGCGGGCCGTACCACATTTTCTACTTTTTGAGAAAAAACTGATTCCCGGTTTGTCTTGCTAAACAGCACTGAAGAGCTAACATCATAAGGACCTAGATATACTTTTGAGGACAATGGGGTAGAAATAGATGCTTGATGGTGGTTCATTAAGTTTTTATTTTACCTTACCGTACCTACGAGTTGAGTTTTCACAGCGCCATCCGCCATCTTGAATCGCAAACATGTACAGCTACCTGCGCCCGCGATGTAATGGTTAATTCTTGTGGCTTGGCCTAGTTTGGCGACTAGTGGTGTCTCATGTAGCCTGTACATGAGTCAACATCAGTAAATATATGCGTTTAACAGATTTTCAACAAGTGAGCGGTTTTCAATGCTTTTTCATTTATGTTTTGCCTTACTGTACATCAGTGGTTCTCAATCTGTGGGTGGGGACCCCCATGGGGGTCCCAAGATAATTTCAGGGGGTCGCCAGATCATTGTAAAAAAATAAATAAACAAATAAAGGCTACATTTATCAAAAAAAAATTGTATTAGACTGTCAAAATTAAAAGTGTATACTTCTTCCCAGTCCTTTTTGGACTTGTTAATATTGTGATTTGATTATGTGATATTACTATTCTGTTTTTGTGAGGGTCATAGACTGGGTTCACTGTGTTTTGGGGATTTTGTCTTTGTGTTGTGAGACACGTGCACACTGGCAGCTGTGGCTCATCGGCTCATCAGCTGTGCCCTGCTTAAATACTGGCGTCTCACGGAAGACCGACGCCAGAGGATTGTGATACCTACCTCGGGGTACAGTCAGGCCACGAGCTGCTACACCGCGCTGAGCATTCCTATTATTCTTGATGTTCTCTAGCTTCGAGTTTATGGTATGTGTTTCTCTGCCTGCTTCCAGTTCTCCTCCTCGGCTCCAGCACTCGGCACACCTCCAAGCACTACAGCGTTTGTCACCCACGGGAATTCACGACCACGGACACCTTCACCGGGAGATCCTTCACGAGAGCACCCCCCACGAGCACCGAACCCTGAGCACCGGACCCCTGCGCACCACCCTGGTTTTCCTCGTCACGGCTCCCTCTCTGCACCGGGAAAGACCCCACGGACCAAGGCACTCTCAGGCATCGGCTCTTTGTGCACCACCCTCGGGACCCCCCTTCCTCGGATCACGACACCGAAGACTCCACTCCCCCCTCTCCACGACTGGCATCCCTGCACCAGATCCCACCACCGGGTTATTCCCCACGACCGGCACCCCTTCACCGGACTTTGTTTCTGCCTCCTGGTGCCCATCACTCCACCACCTT